CAGTAGATGGAACAAATCCCACCGTCTTCGTGGAACCTGTGAAGAATGGCAGGAAACTCATGGAAACTCTGTACAGCCTCCGGGTGCCATGGCACTATAGGCACAGCAATGCCACGGTCGCTAGGGACAGTGGGGTGGACGTTTTGGCCCGGAGTCGCTTCCACGTCTGTTCGCTCCATACCTCAGCAATGTGTGTGGTTGTCCATGTGCTGAAGTGAGGAAATGAAATAGACTGAAATAGTATGAAGATGACTTGAAGAGAGTTCCCATTCTGATTTTTTTCTATGCCCATTGGAGATGGAGGAGCTGATAACAGGTGCATTGGCAATGGCAGCATGTAGGATAAATATCGAAAATAGATCCTAGTCCTAATCCATGCTGTGTAACATCTGGGCATTCTCTGCAGCCTCTAGAGATTATTTCTCCCGTGTTTCATCCCGCACCTGCAGGTCCCACCAGCTGCTCTGGCACCTCTGGACGCTGTTGCTCCGGCCGCTCCTCAGCAGGCCGCTCGACCTGCTCTGGCCGCTCCACTGGCTGCTCCACTGCCCGCTCGGCTGGCCGCTCCACCTGCTCTGGCCGCTCCGTTGGCCGCTCTGCTGGCCGCTCAACCTGCTGCTCTGGCCTCTCCGGCTGCTGTGGCTCTACAACGTGGGGTGCGCTCGCCAGCTCGTGCATCATGCGTTGTGTCAGGAGTGCCGCCTCTGCGTCTTGGGCCACCGAGTAGCTGAGCACGCCCACGGAGACCTCAACACCAAGGTGTAGCTGGATGGGGAGAGTTGGATTGGAGAGTTTTGTTTTGGAATGGACCTGGTTCTGCAAACAATGTTGGTGATCCAAATCTCGGGTACACACCATCTGGTTCCCTATGGTCAAAACCCTTTGCCCATGGCATCCCTTGGCGGCCCATGTGCCCAAAAAACTACAAGAAACCGAAACCGAAGAAACCTCCTTGGCAAAGCCGGCTCAGGAGTCATCATTGATCCTCTTGCCACAGCATATGGCAC